AAGAAAGACCATTAGTTCTAACACTCATTGTAGAACTGTTGGCATTGTAGTGACACAGTTTTACTGTGACCTTGGGGGACATTATTTTCCATACAGTGAGATGGAACTGATGGCACTATTAACCACTGAGACAGAGCTGAACTGCTCAACATATGGTGTTTCCTATTATAGATTTGGCCACATGGTCTTACTCAGACATCCCCAGATATAGAACCTTACATTACTTATTTATTCATTTGCCCACCCATTAAGTGAATATTTATTGAGTGTCAGTGAATTGCCAGGCACTAAGTGGGTATTATAAGTGGGCAGAATAAATCACATCCTGCTGATATGATTCTGGGACATAGAGAAAACCCTGAATTAAACACTTCCCATCTCCTTTTTCCTTCTTTGGTTAATATACTCTATTAATAACTATTGGATATTATTATGTATATGGAACTAGTCTAGGTACTGAGCATAAAAAAGAATAAAACTACACAAAAGAGTGTAAGACTTGTACATTATAATTATACAGTATTGGGAAAAGAAGTTAAACAATGGTTAAGTAAATGGAACTATATCCATTTCATGGTTTGGGAGACAATATTACTAAAATGATGATACACCCCAAATTGATTTATAGGTTTAATGAAGTCTCCATCCAAAGCCCATGTATCTTTTTCTTTTATTGCAGACATTAATTAGCTGTTTCAGACTCACATGGAAATGTAAAGAAAAAAGAACAAAATTGGAAGATTGATGCTAAGTTTCAAATCATACTACAAAGTTACAGCAATCAAGCCTGTGTGGTGGAATATATGCACACAGATAGATGTATGAATCCAAGAAACAGAACTCAGGGTCTAGAAACAAAGTCTCACTGCTATAGTGACTTGATTTTCAACAGTGATGCCAAGACAGTTCATGAACACTGAGTAGTTTCTTTAGTATATAGTACTAATGCAATCTGGTCTCTACATGAAAAAAAGGCTCATACCTCACACCATATACAAAAATAATTAGAAGCGGGTCATAGGCCTAAATGTAATAGCAAAAACTATTTAATTCTTAGAGTCAAAAATCTTTATCACTTTGGATTTAGCAGTGATTTCTTTTTTATATAATATAGCATAGTTTATTAATTTAAAATGAGAAAGATAAGTATCAAAGATCCAGATATTTGTCTTGATTTGAGCTGCCCATGTATTTGTCTAAGAGTACTTGGTACTGGTAATGATGTAATCAGAACAAGAGATGTTAGTCTAATTAACTCAATGTATAATGGCATCTGTCTTTGATAGCTTACTAAGTCCAACTCCATAGCAAAAATGTGCCAGCCAGACCAGCTACATAGGCCAGTGTGCAAAGAAGTTGCCTCGCCTGGTGGGCATTTGTATTATTAACATGATTTTTTTCCTTTATTTATTTATTATTTTTTCCCATAATTTTATTGAGAAACAAATAGCAACGAGACAGTTTCAAATCAAATTGGTAGGACAGTTTCAATAATTAACACATTGCATATATTCTTCCTAGTGGTTAATTGCTGTATATGATGTGGACATGATATCCTATTTACAAACACCATCAGAAGAAATCCTTCTATTCATTAAGAGAATGTAACTATATATCTATCCTAACCACTTTGAATACACAGATACAAAATGGACATACATCTGTATCCCCTTTTTTGGTTAAGCTCTATATTTGAATATTATAGGTGTGTTAACTCAGCAAAATATTCTAAAAGAGTCCAGTAGCCCATAATAGCATTGGGTCTTCTGTTTAACTGGCAATGTCAGAAATTGTTGACCCCTACAGCTCAGCATAACAGCATGGCTTTACTTCTTATACTTCGTTTTTATACTTTTCTGCTGGATGGTTAAGAAGAAGGTAAAGCAGGACCTACGCAACAAGAGTTGTAGCTTTTGGGTCTGATAAGGTCAGTGAAATCCCCTCAGGATTTATCCTGAGATCCTGTACCTCAGATTGTAGAACCTTTGTCAGTGTCAGCCATGTGGATGAGTCGCAGCCACTGCTTGGCCAAGAGCATTTGTATTATTAATGTGATTGTTTAGCTCTTTTTGTCTTCTTTGTACTCATACAACTTTCTTCCTTTATATTTTTCAAAAATAATTTTGTTGAGAAACAAGTAGCAATGAGACAGTTTCAAACCCGATTAGTAGGACAGTTTCAAGAATTAATACATTGCATATTGTTGTCTTCATGGTTATTCGTTGTACAAGATACAGACATAATATCCTATCCACAAACACTTTTAGAACAAATCTCTCTTCATTGAATTAAGAGAATGCAGCTGTATATCTATCCTAATGATTTTGAATATACAGATACAAAATGGTCATTCACTTGTATCCCCCTTATTTGGTTAGTTTTGTCAGAGAAGGGTGTTCCATTGTCAATTAAATATTGTAGGTGCATGAATTCAGCAAAATATTCCAATATTTAACTTTGTAGTATGATTTGAAACAGCATCAATCTTCCAATTTTGTTCTTTTTCCTTTACATTTCCATGTGAGTCTGAATCCAGTAGTAATTAATATGCTGAGCTTTAAAAGGCTCAAGTCAACCACTTCTGATATTAGCAGTGATTTCTTACAGAATCCACAAGCACCCAAAGAAAAAAATAATACTCAGATTGGTGCCCCAAAAGACACCATCAAGACAGAGAAAATAGAGGCTGAGGAGGTAGCTCAGTGGTCTAAGCATCTCCCTGGCAAGGGTAAAGACCCAAGTTTGATCCCTGGTACCATATGCTGTGCTGGCCCAGAATCCCAGGTGGGGCGAGCTGGCCACCGAAACCAGGTATGGTGGTGCACACCTGTAATCCCAGAGCTGGGGAGGCTGAGACAGGAGGATCACTATGAGTCCAAGCTGTGTAGTGAGACCCTGTACCAAATAAATAATTAAATACATTATTTTTAAAAAATTGAAAAAGACAGGGAAAATACAAGCTATAGGATGGGAAGACATATTTGCAAATAACATATCCTGTAAGGATTTAGTATCCAGAATTTTTTTTTTTAACTCATCAACAAGAACACAAGTAGTTCAATTAAAAAGTGGGCAAAAGATATGTAGACAGACCAGCAGACATTTTTTTCTTTTTTAAAAAATGTATTTGGCACAAGTTCTCACTGCATAGCCTGGACTCATAGTGATCCTCCTGTTTTCAGCCTCCCCAGCTCTGGGTCACAGGTATGTGTCACCATGCCTGGTCTTTTTTTTTTTTTTAAATATTTATTTATTTATTTATTTATTTATTTATTGTGTATGTGTGTGTGTGTGGCCAGCTCAGCCCACCAGGGGGCGGGGCTGGCTGGCATGTGGTGCTGGGGGATTGAACCACGGTCCCTGTGCTTTGCTAAGCTTGTTCTAAGTAGGTGCTTTAAACCACTGAGCCATCTCACCAGCCCACCATGCCTGGTCTTGGTGGCTTGCTCAGCATGCCCAAGGGCCAGGCCAGCATGGAGCATGTAGGGCCAGAGCTGTGTGGTACCCAGATCGAACTCTGGTCCCTGTGATTGTCTAAGCAGGTGCTTAGTCTGTTGAGCTATCTCACTGACCCACAAATAGACATTTTTCCAAAATAGATATGTAGGACCGGCCAAATAGCTCAGCAGATGAAAGCACCTGCAAGCAGGCACAGGGGCTGGGGGCTTGATCCCCAGGCCTGCTGTGCTTTCCTCACCCCTGGGGCATACTGAGATAGTGATTGAGACTGGGCATGGTGGCACGCACCTGTAATTCCAGCTCTTGGGAGGTTATAAACAGGTGGATTACTAGGAGTTCGATCTAGTTGTGAGACCCTGAATACCCTGTAGACCCTTCCCTAAAATATAAAACAAAGATATACAAATGATTAAAATGCCAAAAAAAGATGGTCAGCATTGTTAACTATGGTAAAATCATTAACTATTAGGTAAAAGCAAGTCAAAATCACAGTGAGCTATTAATTACTTCATACACAGCAGGAATGCTAGAGTTAAAAAAGTCAGACAATCCTATGTTGGCCATGATGTGGAGAAATAGAAATCCTCATCTCTTGCTTGTGGGAATGCAAACTGGTACAACTACTTCTGAAAAGCTTGGCAATCTTTCAAAACATTAAGTGTACGGTTACTGTATGACCTGAAAATTCCACTCCCAGGTTTATACCCAAGAGAACTGAAAACATGTAGCCACACAAAAATGTGCCCAAATGTTCATGACAGCATTATTCATAACAGCCAAGAAATGGAGCAAATCGAAATGCTCATAATTTGATGAATAAACAAAATGTAACGTATCCTTATGATGACATGTTCTTCAGCCATGAGATGGAATGAAGTACTGATGAATGCTGCAGCAAGAGTAACCTTGGAAACATTATGCTAATGAAGGAAGCCATACCGAAAAGGTCACGCATGATTCCATTCGTATGGAATGTCCAGAATAAACAAAAGCCTAGAGACAGAAAGTTAATTTGTGGTTTTCAAGGGCCGAAGGAAAGAGAAATTAGAGAATGACTACTAATAGATGCAGGGGTTCTTTTTGTAATGATGTAAAATTTCTGGAATTAAATAGTGGTGATGGTTGTTCAATTTTGTGAATATAATAACCGCTATACCTTTCAGGTGAATTTTGTGGTATTTGAAATATAACTCAATTTTTAAAAGTATGAGAGAAAATAGCCTCGGAATGCAAATACTCCTTAAAGAGAGATATAAATTTTCCCTGTTACAGTACCTGGTGCACAATAGGTACTGTCCAGTTGGTGTTCAACATATATTTGTTGAATAAATAAGTGTATAAACAAGTTATTTTCTGGGAATTGTATTTTAAAGAGGGAAGGAGGCCAAGGGAAAGTTGAGGGAACATTTCAATATGAAGAAGGCGGGGCACAGAGAGGGCTGGAGAGCACGACTGGAGTATTCTTGCTTTCTGAGGGCTCTCTGCACTTCTTCTGTCTCCTTGACTGACCTCACTTGGTTTCACTTCCCCGTGTCCCATAGTGCCTGGCACCTACTAGGCTCCTGGCGGAGACCTGTGTAACAACTGAGCGTTGAAGCTCAGGAACTTGACTGAGGCTCCTTGGGCCTCTCAGAGGACGTGGCTTGAAGAAGTATACAGCTCCTGTGAGGCAGCCACCCTCACTGCATGAAGCAGGATCCTTTTTCTGAAGAGAGAAGACTGGCTTCAGGTTTTGAGGTCCTTTGAGTTTCCTGTTCTCAAACCGTGTGGCCTCAGGTGAAGCCAGGTCAGAGGAAAGGTAATTTCCCACAAGTCCTGCAACTAGCGGCAGACCTGCTCAGATATGATGGCCCTTGGGGTCAGACCTGACCCCAAGCTGTGTAGACAAGAGTCAGCTGAAGGGGACTGTGTGGGTCTTATGAGAATGGTCATGCTTCCGTAAAACATCATCCAGCACATCCGTATATGCCCAGCGCCATAGATGTGGTTTCTACAGAAAGGAGAAAATGTACAAAACAGACATACATTTATGTGTATGAGAGAAACATGCATTCATTTAAGAAATAATTCCTTACATACCTTGAGAATACTTCAATAAATATATTGGAATCAGGTAAGAAGAACTGGATAAATTTCCAGCGTGTTTTATCACTAAATGTTGCCTCTCTCATCTATGGGAGCCCAAAATTGCATTCCATGCCCTTTTGATGGAAAGAATAAGGGAGAAGGACATTAAAACTAAAGTCTACTTTATAATTATTACAAAACAAAGCCAGTATAAAGTAAAGATAAGGCTGGGGATATAGTGGAGATATAGCTCAGTGGCACGGTGGCATCCCAGTGAGCACAAAGTCCTGAGTTCGATTCCCAGTACTAAAAAAAAAAAAAAAAAGAAAAAAGTAAAGATAAAATTTCCTTACAAAATCAAGAAGGTAACCATAACAATAACAACAGATCTTACTCTGCTGTAAACTAAGACATATTTGGTATCCCAAAAAATGGGACTGACCAAAGGAATAATTACTTCAATGGGAGACCACACAAGCCCTTCTACATTGTACATTATGTGCAGTTTTGTCTGTGCTCCCTTTATTTCTCAAATTCTAAAATGGTGTGATAGTTGTTCATATATATTTAGTATTTCCATACATGGTCATGGTACTAAGCTGTAATAAACTTGTGCTAGTATTCTGTAATGTAACTTGCCTAATGCTCTTACGAGGTAGATACCATTATTTTCCTTATATAGGTGAAGAAACCAAAGCACAGAAAAGTGAAGGAACTTGCTTAAGGTCAGTCATTAGTAAATGATGGATGTGGTTCTCATCCAGGCAGTGGGGCTCTAGGGTTTTACTACCATGCACCGCTGGCTCTTATTCTATGATTCTAAGCATGGATTCATAACTTGAGCATATTGTGTGCATCTCTCCCAAAACTACAGAGGAAGAATTAGGGTAAGAGTAGGAAGTGGTTTATTGTGAAAGGAGAAAGGGTCAGTTCTTGGGCCACATTGTGGCTTTGCAGGAGGATTTCTTCTGGTGAGTCAGATGCTTTCAAGTGGGACCAGCAGGTGGGCTTGGTCCTGCAAAGCCCAGCACAAGCTCTGGACGGTATCTCAGTCACCTTTCCACTGCTGACATGCAGTTCCTGGCACCTGGAATTTAAAGGAGAGGTTTATTTTGGCTCAGTTTCAGTGGGCTCAGCCCATGTCACCAAGCTCCAAGGCCGAAGCAGCACGGTAGAAGGCATGGGGGAAGAAAGCTGCTCTTGTCAGGGTAGCTGGGAAGCAGAGAGGACAGGGAGAAGCTATGGAGCCTCTCCAGGATGTCTAGGAGTACACAGGCCTTGCCCCTGTGGACCTGCCTCTTCTGACTAAGCCTCACCCCTGAACGGCTATGAACTCATTAATGGACTAACCCACTGCTGGGTGTAGGACCCTCATATCCAATTACCTTCCATTATGGATTGCATCTAAATGTCCTCCAGAGCCCCATGCAGTCACAGGTGGGGCTTTCTGGAGGATCGAGGATATGATGCTGGGGCTGACTCAGGGTGTGATGCTAGGATTAGGGATGTGAGCGCTATCTGCCTGAGTTAAAATAAGAGGCAGAAGAGGGCTGCCGTGGTCCTGGCTTTTCACTTGCTGCTTCTTTGCGACTTGGTTGCCTTTCTGCCTTCAGCCTGCCATGCGCAGCTCCTCCCCTGCAGTGCCCTCTGCCGCGTGCCACCCTGCCTTGGAGCCTGCCAGCTACGAATGGAGAGCTCCACAGCTGTGAGCCCAATAGACCTTCCTTCTTTAACTTGGATGCTGGGTATTTTGTCTCAGCGACGAGAAAAAGAAGACACCTTCCAAAGGGCTTGTTTCTAAGCAGGATCCTTTTGGGGGATTTTTTTTTAATTAAAAAAAAATTGTATTTACTTAGAAGCATTCAGAATGTCAACAAAGCAGTTGCTTTTTTTTTTTTCAATTATAGAGTGGCATTCAGTTAACAGAACAACAGTTACTTCATATAAGCTGCATCAGAGACACCTGAAGATGAAAAACTACTGTTCCTGTATATAACTCATTTGTGCTGTGCACCAACAAGAACCTGCTTTAAATTTCCACGCCAATTTACAAGCCCCGTACTGTACCAGGCAAGGTTAGTGGCTATCGAAAATACCACCAGGACAGGGCTGTCTAAAGACACATTCGGTAGTGTGTTAACTATACAAAAAACTCCCCAAAAACCCCAAAAACTCTGTACAGTTTAAAAACAAATCCTACACAGCCCTACATTTCAATTTTCTTTTCTTCAAAAGGAGTTGTATTTAGGGGGGTTAAATGATTTATAAACAAGAAAAAAAACTGCGCTAGAACCATCTTATTCATCATCATCCTTGTTACTGTTTGTGTCTAGTTGTCCTCCCAAAGCTCATGTTGGTCGTGGGGCAGATGCGGCTGGAGGAGCAGTCAGGGGCGGGGCATGAGGGGCATGAGGGGCGGGGCCAGAGGACCAGGGCGGGGCCAGAGAGGTGCGAACTGTTAAACTGGCTGGCCTGTGCTTTCTGAGAGGTGTGGAGAGGGTCACCCCGGACATGGCAGCGCCCCCTCTCCTCCAGTGTCTTGAAACTTCCAGTAACTGTGAGCTCAATAAACCTTTCCTTCCCTCAGTTTGAGTGTCGGGTATTTGTCCCAGCAACGAGAGAAGAGTAACTAATACAATCCTCGTCATCCTCCTCCTCCTCCTCTTCCTCCTCCACTTCATCCTCATCTTCCTCATCCTCCTCATCTTCCTTCTTTTTCTTGCTTTTTTCAGCCTCGACAACTCCCTTTGTTGCTGCGTCAGGTTTTCCTTTAGTCCAGCAGGCAGCGCTGCTCTTTTCATACCTTTCCTTCAGCTTGGCAGCCTTCTTCTTGTCTAGCTGCTTGCCACCTGCTGCGGTATTAGTCCACATTTCTCTAAGTTCTTTGCAATATCACCAGTGGAGAGGCGAGGATGTTCTCTTTTGATTTTTGGGTGACACTTAGAACACAACAAGAGAAGGCAGAAGGAGGCCTCTTGGGATCATTGGAATCTTTGAACTTCTTTTTTGTTTCTCCTTTAGGAGGGATATAAATTTCATTTCTCTTTATAATGAGCTTTTCCCCCTCTTTCCATGCCTTCAAATTTTCGTTTTGCTTTAGCACACATGGTCTTCCACCTCTCTGAGCACTTCTTAGCAAAGTCTGAGAAGTTAATGGAAACATCTGGGTGCTTCTTCTTGTGCTCCTCTTGGCAAGTTTGCATGACATCTTGCTTCTCTGATTCTTAGGATCTCCTTTGTTCATGTTTACTTGTTTTCCTCCATGAGGTACAGAGTCGCCCAGTGCCTGTCCAGTTCTTACTTGCCTTGGGGGGTATTTTAGATCTAAACCATAGCAGACCCCATCTTGTACATCCTTCTTGGTCACTGACAAGCCACAGGGGCCATCCTCAGAGTCTTGGCTTTCTATGGTGGTCTACTCCTCTACTTCTATTTGCTTGTGGGTCATGGAAACAATAAATCAGAAGGTAAAAGAGGTAGAGCTCAAAGGTACTTTGAGGGGTTACTCTATCTCTGTCACTCAAAATCAAGATGCCTACTGACTTGATACGGCAAGTCTGAGGAGAGGGCAGGTTGATCCCTGCTCTCCATGCTTAGTTTCCCAGGCTTTGGTTTATAAGCAATAAATTCCTGTGTGAGGTTTGTCTTTTCATTTTATGGTGAAAGTTTCCTTATAAAATCCCTCTCAGGGCCATCAAACTCCTGAAACTCTTGAGAACTGCATTCCAGTTATGCCTGTGACATCCTCCCCGCCAACATCCCCTCTTGTGTTTCCTGTGAGGAGCTCCACTCCAGTGTCTCTCCCTCTCTACACCCTTTACCCCTACTTTTGATTCCCAGAAACTGTGTACTCTGCTTTGAAAATTTTGCTTCCTACTCTGAGAACTGCTTTATGGGTGAGACAAGACACTTCTTCAGTTGCCCAGAAGGTAATGAGTAGAAGTGTATGCCATTGTATAGAGTTTGGATATCTAGGTAAAGCTATCTCTCAGCATTAGGATGGCTTTTACGGTGTTTGTGTCAAGCTATCCTCTAGGATTGTTTCAACACTCCCACTGCCATGGAACAGCCAGTTCAGCTTTCAGACAGTTCTGCTAGAAACTCTTTTGTAGTATGGAAATGCAATACCTGCCCATCAGTCCCATTTCTGCTCTTAGACATGTAAGAAATCTTTAAGAATTTGAGCACATTTCTTGCCTTTTATTCTGTTGGCCACAACAACAGATTATCCTCTTTCCTTACTGAGGGGACATGCCTTGTTGTTTTAATGATTCGTCCTGTATGGACACTTCTCTTGAATACATGAAAGTGAATCAAGGATCACTCCAGGTTCAGCCAAACCACGCTAAGGAGGATGTCAGCTCTGTGTTTGGTTCCAGTACTTTACATGAAGAATATGGCAGTTTTTGACTGGCAGATGTATCCTTATGTTAATCTTTCAGGAAATTAAATCTGTACATTTTTCTTACTTGTGTTGCTATTTAGACATATTTCTCCAGTGATCCAATAATAAGAGTCTAAGTAGAATGAGATGAGGATTCTCTTTACAAGAAGGAGGCATTCCCTGCCTGACGTGGCGCTACATGTCTTGTCTGGGAGGGAAATATGTTGAATGCATGACCTGGACTCCTCGTGCAGCCATGTGGATGCCAAGATACTTGGTAAAGGAAACTGAGTGGACCCGTGGCCAAAGTCAAGGGCCCAGTATAACAAAGAAGGGGCTGATGCTTTATTAGGAACTTAGTGGGCGAGAGCTGAAATTGGATATGAAAGTCAGGGTAAAATTTGTTAGAGAAGCCACAGGATGAACATCCACAGTCAAGAATGAGGAGAACCCAGTGGCCACACTTTCATTTGCTAAAGTGAGAGATAAGGCAAACACAGCATCTCTTACCCATATTGTGTTGTTGAACACATAAGCACTTAGTGTATAGTGTATAAACCTCGGTAGAGTCTTATTGGAAATATTTATGTTGAGATCCAAAGAAATGTTCATAATATTCTTAGCTACTATGACAGCTGAGAAA